ATTTAATGAACTTTTCTAGAGTACACTGCAAAGAAGAGGGAATAGCAGTTGTACTATCTGTATTATAGCTAGATTAGTCACAATTACTATCAAACCAACTAATTCTTAAGGTCACAAGTAGACTTTCCTCATTCCACTCTAATATTATTACCAATAATGAATTATAAGAGGTAACTGCCAATATTATACTGTAAAATATGTTATGTGGTAAAGACTAATTAAATCAATATATCAATATTAGGAGTGATTATTTCAAAGCAGCATATTTTCTACCTTTAACATGTCTTCAAGTTCTTCGAGGTGTCTTTTTCAAATAAACTCAGAATTCTAAAGAATATTACTGCCCTAGCTGGTTTCGCTCAGTGGATAGAGTGTCAGTCTGTGGAGTGAAGAGTCCCAAGTTTGATTCTGGCCAAGGGCACATGCCTGGGTTTCGGGCTCAATCACCAGTAGGGAGCATGCAGGAGGCTGCTGATCAATGATTCTCTCATCATTAATGTTTCTCTCTTTCTCTCCCTCTCCCTTCCTCTCTGAAAACAATAAAAATATATTGGGGGGGAAAAAGAGAATATTACCTGTATGGCTGCCTTTGTGGTAGTCATTTTATCTGTTTTCACCTCTGGTAACGACGCCATGATTTTTGATGAACCCATTCTGCTTGGGGACACACCAAGATATCCTTTTGTTTGAGCTCCTTTTCCTGGGCTAGAAAGGGCAGTAAAAGACTTCTTTTTTGGACTGCCTAAGTTCCTATACCAAGAAAAGAAAATAATATAGAGGATCCACAATTGAAGAAAAACTAACCAACACTAAAAAGAGACTTTAATTAAAAACATGAAAACAATTTAAACATATAAGTGAGAAATACTACTACTACTACTTAAAAGTTCATTATGTGTAAGAATAGATCTAGAATGTTTATATGCATTATGTCAAATTTTCCACACAACTCTATGAGGTTACTATTACTATTATTTATACTAGTTATATGAAATCACAGAACTTTAGAGTGAAACATTTCTTGTAGAGTTTAAATTTAAACCCAGGTAGTCAGATCCAAAGTTCACACTAATTTCTCTGGGTCTGTTCCCTTATCTATATAATGGGGATAATAGTTTTTAATTCATAGGTTATTTGAGGATTAAAATAATTTATGTTATAGTTAGGAAGTGTCTGACATGTACTACATGTACAAATGAGTGTAGAGTGCAGTTACATAGGCAGATTACAGTATAAGTATAAACCTGCCTGAACAATTACATAATAATTTTAATAAAAAGAGAAGTTATCATCAAAATGTATATGTCCTGGAGAAAAAATATGATTTTACTTTTGGATCTACTCTGTAAGTTCCCTAAGACAAAAACCTACCTTATCATTCATTCTAGTACTCTGATTATACTTTGGATTTCTATAAAATAAGGACGATCTGCCCTTAGATTTTAAAAATGAAGTAGATGGTCAAGAAAACTTTTTAAAAATATATATTTTTATTGATTTCAGAGAGGGAGAGAAATAGAAACATCAATGATGAGAATCATTGATTGGCTGCCTCTGGCACAACCCACACTGGGGATAGAGCCTGCAATCTGGGCATGTTCCCTGACCGGGCATTGAACCATGACCTCCTGGTTCATAGGCTGATGCTCAAGCACTGAGCCATTCCTGTACTGGCAAAAGAAAATGTTCTTAATGATAGTTTTACTTTCAAATCATAAATGATCACAGTATAATAAAATATTTTTAAAGACATTAGTACATTTATTACTACTTCACACTTTGTTGTTGTCCATTCCTCTACTAAAATATAAGCATGTTTAGGGCAGAAACTTTCGTCTTGTTCATTGTTATATCCCTAATATGAAGGACAGTGCCCAGTATGTTGTGGGCACAAAATAAGCATTTTTAAAAATAAATGACTAAGTGAATTCCATTCATGCTATATCTTTAAGTATTCTATCTGTCCTCCCACCTTCAGTCTCTAAAGGACTTTACCTTCAACATCTCTAAGAAAATAAAAATAAAACCTCAAGTAAAACCTCCTTAAATTATTTTTCCACCTTCATTATATTCTTCTTCCTCATCCTACAAACTCATATAAACCTAAACTCAAATTTCTTCCTTTCAGTAAAACAGTTGCCATTCTTATCTCAGGCTATCTTTCTACCTAGGCTTTGAAACTTGTCTCTTACTACTTTCTCAGGGATACTTCTCCATCAATAATTCCCTGTCTCCTACATTTTATTTCATTTCTTTTCCCCCTAGCATATAATTACGCTTCAGTCATCCCCTAAACTTAAAAATCTTTCCTTGAGCTAAGTCTTCCTCTATCCATTACTACATTTCTCCTTCTTTCATAGTCTAACTTTTTTTAAACAAAAATATATTTTATTGATTTTTACAGAGAGGAAGGGAGAGGGATAGAGAGTCAGAAACATCGATGAGCTGCCTCCAGTACACTCCCCACTGGGGATGTGCCCGCAACCAAGGTACATGCCCTTGACCGGAATCAAACCCGAGACCCTTGAGTCCGCAAGCTGACGCTCTATCCACTGAGCTAAACCGGTCAGGGCGCATAGTCTAACTTTTTAAAATATTAGACAATTATACTGGCTACTTCCTTACTCCTCTTATCTACACTAATAAAAGAGAAATATGCAAATTGGCCATATGTTCATGAGACCTACCAGCCAATCAGGAGTGAGTATGCAAATTAACCCAAAAAGATGGCAGGTCAATTTGCATACACAGGCGCTGCAGGCGTTCTGCACGGCCCCAGCCACTCCCGGCCTCTGGGCAGCATGGGAAGGCGGAAAGGCGGCTCTGGGCCAGAGTGAAGGCAGAAAGGCGGCTCCAGCTGGAGCGAAGGCAGCGCCTGCAGCCAGGGGAAGAAAGGCCCATTCTTGCATGAATCTTCATGCATCGGGCCTCTAGTTTGCTTCATAATTCACTACAATCCAGTTCTACCTTCTCCTCTCCTACTGCACAGAAACCATGTTTATCATGTCCACCATTTATAGCCCCAGCAAATAGCACTCTGCCTACTACATTGAGAAATTAGAGAAAGTACAGACTACTTTTTAAAAGAAATTGAAATTCCTTTCAATTATATTAGAAATTTATATAATACATGTGTAATTATCTTAGAAAACAAATGTTCTCAAGAGGCAAATTAGTGGGCAATAAGATGATTTCAGGAGGAGATAACCACTCTGAAAATCACTTTGCCTAAAGAATAGTGATGATACCAGAGGCCAGGTAGCTCTACACTCTTAAGTTTGCTAAAGCAGGGACTTAATTTTTTAAAAATATTCTTATTGATTTCAGAGAGGAAGGAGAGAGAAACATTGATGTGAGAGTTAAACATCAATAGGCTGCCTCCTGCATGCCCTCCACCGGGGATTGAGTTTAAGATTCTAATGGAAAAACTAGATAACATGCTCAACAGATGAAAATTCTAAAAAATCAAAGGAAATGAATAAACCAAGAAGTTAGTAGAATAGAGAAACTGAGCAGAGAAATGGGATAAAAGCATTGAACAATTAATTACTGGTAGTTTTTAAAAGAGATTGTCCAATATTGTTAAGCCAAATAGGAAAGACCCAAAATAAGAAAATTTGGAGTGAAAAAGTGAAAGTGAAAAATTAATGTTTCATGTGATCCTTTCCAAGATCAGGATTAAATCCTAAAAGAAAGATGAGAAATAACATATGTATTAGGTCAAACCATTGTAAACTTTAGTGTCTGTCAAATTTTATTTTAATTATACAACATAGCTAACTCAAAAAGTTAAGGTTATACTATTTCCCATCTCCCACCTAATTCTTTCCTTAACAGGTAATCTTCTATGACTTTGTCATTATTTAAGAAATTCCCAAGGGAATTTTTCTAACTATCTCAGCTACTATGAGAGTTGAATGACTTTAAAAATTACATGAACTCTACTCAATTTTACCTTGAGATTTCCATACCTTCAAGTAAAAACAAAAACCAGACGAGTAACCAGTCACTAAAGTACAAACTGATTCATTCATTTGTTCAGTCAACAAATATTTATTGAGCACCTTCTTTATTCTAGGCAATAGCAGTGAACAAAACAAAAAAGTCTCTGCTCCCATGGAGTATAAGGTTATACTAAAGAAATAGTATAACCTTAACTTTCTGAGTTAGCCATGTTGTATAATTAAAATAAAATTTTGACAGACACTAAAGTTTACAATGGTTTGACCTACTACATACGTTATTTCTCATCTTTCTTTTAGGATTTAATCCTGATCTTGGAAAGGATCACATGAAACATTAATTTTTCACTTTCACTTTTTCACTCCAAATTTTCTTGGCTATACCACACCTTGGGTGAAGGCAGATTAACAAACAAGTATACCAAATACCAAATAGGTTTACGTGTTTTATGGAGAAAAATAAAGCAATGTGGAGGAGGAAGTATTATACACACACACACACTAGCGAATTCTTTGATAAAGTGACATGTAAAGAAAATGAATCATGAGGTTATCTAGGGGTACAATATTCCAAAAGACAGCAAATGTATACATTCTGAATTGGGGAAATAATGTGCCTGATATTACTGTGGAACAACAGTGAGTGTAATTAATCAAGAGGAAGAGTCCAAGGTGGGATACTGTAAGTAGTGTTTCACTCTGAGTGCAATGGGAGCCAGAAGATGGTTTTGAAAAGAGCCAGTTATTACTGTAATGTGGGCGTCGGCAAGACCATTTATGTGGTTACTGCAGTGTTACAGTGGCTTATATCAGAATGGTAAGCCTGGATTCATTTTTCAGGTAGAAATGGTAGAAGCTGCTGATGGAGTGGATGTTAGAGAAGTCGAGGGTAACTCCAAGGCTTTTAACGAACTGAAAGAGAAGTTGCCATTTTATTAGAGTTGGTTAGAAAATTAAGTTCAGTTTTGGATATAAATTTTGAGCTGTCTTATTAACTTCTAAGGGCAAATATTTGCTTTTTTAAAAGTCTGTTTTCTTGGGAGAGGTGTTGGCTAGCGATATAAACGTGTGAATCATCTGTGTATAGGTGATTTTTAAAGGCATGATAATGAAAAAAAGACTGACCCCAGCAACACTCCGATATTTAGACTCGGGAGAAATGAAGAAGTAACAGCAAAGTATTTAGAGAAAAGTATTCATAAACCAACGGGAGAACAAGGGACGAGTGGTGGTGCCCTAGAAACCTCAAGAAGTGACAAACCCGATCAAAGCTGCTGCTGCGTGAGTTGAGAATGAAACAGACATAGCCACGGAATATTGCCCGGCAGCAGCTACTGCTGTGGACCTTTACGAAAGCTATTCTGCTGGGGCGGTAGATCTTGAGTATCATATTCAAGAGACAACGGGAGGTTCTCTCCAAAAAAAAAAAAAAAAAAATTCAACAAGTTCTGCTAAAGGAAAATGAGCTGAGCTGGAGGAGATTGGAGAAATGTTCAAAATTTGGGAAGAGAGAAGAAAAGGGGCCTGGAAGTATGGGAGAGGGAGCTATAGGGGAACTTGAGCGGCACTGCTGGGCAGCGCTGAGGGAGCTCTCGGAGCTGTGCGCTTTTCTCTGGCCGGTCATTCACCGGCTGCAGGACCGCTAGAATGCTGTAAGCAGGAATCAGGAAT